AGCTTGTGTGAACTCAGCAAATTTTTTTCTGATTGTTCTCCCTGATCATATGATATATGAAGGAATATATTTGTGTCAGGATGCCAAGAAAATGTCCAAGACGTAATTCCAAGTACTGTACTCCTTGACTTACAACAGTTCACTTAGTGACTGTTTACAAGTTACGACGACACTAAAAAAAAGTGACTTATGGCTGTTTTTCATAACTATGACCTCTGCAGGATCCCGTGTTCATGGGATCAAAATTCAGAAGCTTGACCACTGACTCATATTTATGATGGTTGCAGTGTCCCGGGGTCAAGTGATCCCCTTTTGACAAGCAAAGTCAGTGGGGAAACCCCGGGACAAAAAGAAGGGCCTTCTCCATGGTGGCTCCCTTCCTGAGGAACATCATCCCTGCAGAAATAAAATTGGGCCCCACTTTGACACCCTTTAGAGAGGCCTTGAAGACATGATTTGACCAATGGGCTGGGTGAATGGAGCCCATAAAATAATTGTTTGAATATTACTGTTGGGGTGGGTGGGTGGCGATTCATTGGGTATTACATTGGGGTTCTATTTGTGTAAACTGCCCAGAATCACCATGAGTAAGTTGGGTAGCCAAATAAATTTTCTTAATAAATAAATAACTTGCCTGGCGGCTTAGGTGGTCAGGAAAGGTCTCCTAATGCCAGCTCAACTATCAGATGCCAATAGTTCTTTGGCATGGCTTCAGTCTAGAGAATACACTCCCTCAAGAGGTGCATTTTATTCCAACTCTCCCAGTATGTAGGAAACTGATAAATTATTTTATTTATTTATTAAATTTATTAAATTTCACTAATCGCATAATATGTTAATTATTCTATCAACTTATTTTATTTGGATTTATTTTTCTTTTCTTTTTTTTCTATTTTGTATTTTCTCATTATTATAAGCTTTACTAAGTCTTGGAATAAACAGAAAAGCAGAGTACAAATTCAGTAATAAGTAATGAATACAGTTACTTCAGTCGAGAATGAAGCCAGAGAACAGACAGAAGGATCACAACGACAATTGCATGGTGAAGCCATCGTGTGCACAATTATGTACATGCTTTCTGACATCTAAGACAAGGGCATAATTGTCCCCTACAGGTTGTTGTCCCATCTGAGTTACTCTGAAATGGATTTTGCTCATCTTACAGCTTCTTCAGCCATTAGGCTTGAATTTATCCTACTTCCTCAATCATCTTACTTAAATTCAGCCGGTGAGAAAAACATCAGGTCTTGGGGGAGGTATATAACTCACTGTTGAGTGAGGAAATAGTATTTTACTTAGATTCCTATCTATGTGTCAGATAAGGAGACCAACCGGCACATAGCCTTGGAGAGCTGCAGTTGCTATAGCAACAGCTATAAGATCTTTGGTCAGGACTAGTACAGGGGTGATTGGTTGCATTACATTTTGTACTACCTTCAAGGATGGCTGGTTTACTATCTGGAGGAGTGCAAAGAAGAGCAACAAAGATGATTAGGGGACTGGAGGCTAAAACATATGAAGAATGATTACAGGAAGTGGATAAAAATAAGGACTAGGGGTGATATAATAGCAGTATTCCAATATTTAAGGGGTGCCACCAAGAAGAGCAGGTCAACCTCATCTCCAAAGCACCTGAAGGGACGACAAGAAGCAACGGATGGAAACTAATCAAGGAGAAAAGCAACCTAGAACAGGAAGGACAATCAGTGGAACAACTTCCCTCCAGAAGTTGTGGGTACTCCATCGCTGGAGGTTTTCAAGAGATTGGACAACCATTTATCTGAAATGGTATACAGCCGCCAGCTTGAGCAAAGCTTGTTAACAATAAGAGCAATTTAACAGAAGAAACAATGACTCAGTAAAATGGTAGTCTCCCATCCACTGAATGTTTTCAAACAGCCATTTGACAGCAATGGTTAAAATTGACCAGGAGATTTGAATTGCTCGCTCCAAGATCCCTTCCAACATTAAGATTTTTAGAGTCTCACAACAATATATGGCCCCTTCACGATCTGTGGACTTCAACTCCCAGAATTCCTCAGCCAGCATGGCTCAGTTCAGGAATTCTGGGAGTTGAAGTCCACAGGTCATAAAAGGGACATAGTTGACTACCCCTGATGAAGCCCAAATGAGGTGATTATGTTCCTACTTATTCATGTATGATTGTAGGATTCAAGTCTATTTGGTCATTTTCTTGAAGGTTGATGGAAACTGAATTTACATACAATCAATATTTAGCTTATACCCTACCAAATTAAAATAAGGGGGGGACCCACAAAAATTGGAGCCAGGAAGGCAAGAAGGAGAAGGAAAGAGATAAGAGAAGTATTGAGAAAAACTATAAGAGAAAAACTGTAACAAAGGACAGATGTAGGGGATATGTAACTACAAGAGGTATACTACAGCCTTTCTAACACACACAGTCTTGATTTCTAACACTTAGGAAAGACTTGGAAGTTCAAAAATAGTATCTGGGATGTTGCCACTATTAATCAACTTTTAGCTATTTTAGGCTAGTTTTCTTACTCTACCTAATGTTCAGCTTAGCCTTTTCTAGAGGTAATTATCCCAAATATCCCAAAATGAGAAAATGTGGGGAGACAAATAGGGAAATAATTGCAAATAAAAGCCAAAGGATAATGTCCCAGGATAATGTTGCAGGATCCAATCTGAGTCAGTTGCTGGGACCAAACAATTATTTTTTCAAGCTTCCACATTCATGCTGGAGCCCATACTCAGGAAATGTATCTCTCTCCAGAAGTACAGGTAGTCCTCGACTTACAACAATTGGTTTAGTGACCGTTCAAAACTACAATAGCATTTACGACCATTTTTCACACTTATGACCATTGTAGCATCCCCATGGTCATGTGATTTATGTTTGGATGCTTGACAACTGACTCTCATTTATGACAGTCACAGTATCCCGGAGTCATGTGATCTCCTTTTGCGACCTTCTGACAAGCAAAGTCAATGGGGAAACCAAATTCACTTAACAACAGCATTGATTCATTTAACAAATGTGGCCCAAAAAAAAGCCGTAAAAAGGGGCAAAACTCCCTTAACAAATTTCTCACTTAACGACATAAATTTTGGGCTCAGTTGTAGTTCTAAGTTGAGGACTACCTGTATTTATATGGTCCCTGGTTACGTGTGGCTTTGATTCACTTAATTCAGTTTAGTTCAGTCCAGTCCAGTTAGGAATTACTAATTTAGTTAATAATTCCTCGTGGACTTGTTGCTGCAGTCAAACTCAAGAACCTTTATCATTGTCACAGAGGTCTTGCCAAAGTTATAGCTGGCTGCCTTTTGTAATTCAGCCACAGTCCATCTCAATGAGGTGTCGTGTCTGGCAAAGAGGAATAACTTTGACATGACAAGGCAAAGTGCACCATCGAGGCAGGATTTTAATGAAGGTTTAACAAAGCATTGAAAGGGGACGATGGGAGATCTAGCTGAATTAGCTATTTTGCTTTGATGCACATCCAGATCACAAGTTCCACAGGAAAAAATTCTATTCCCCTCAAATTTGTACCCACTGGAATTTCTGACCTCATCTCCCAGTCCTGCACATTTTTTATTTTTTAAAAAATATTCAGTTTGGTTTAAAGAAGTTGCTTTCCTAATAGGGATTTTAATCCCTTCCATTGGAAAGATCACCTCTATAGCCCTAATGTGTAAAGGTTTAGTTGGTTCTCATAGATTTGCAATGGATTTAATGCCAGGTTTTTAAACGTAAAAGTACTACTGTATTCACCTATGGGTCTAAACCAGGGGTAGGCAATCTTGGCCCTTTGGACTTCAACTCCCAGAATTCCTCAGCCAGGGTGCCTGGCTTAGGAATTCTGAGAGTTGGTCTACAAGTCATAAAAGGGCCAAGTTTGAAGACCCCTGGTCTAAACTGTGATTTCTTTAACTATGTTTTATTGAGTAAACCACAGTTTGTTTGCTTCATGTTACAAATCAGCCAAACTAGCAAGCCACAAGATGACTTAGTACAATATGTGAACACAGGCCACAGTAGGCATAAACTCTTTCCTGTTCAATTTCATAGGTCTAGAGGTAGGAGAGAGAAAGATTTATACCAGTTTAGCAATGAAGATTCTTCCAGTATAATGCTGAAAACTGTACAATGAGAGATATCTAAAAGGTTGAATCAGGGCAAGTGGACCAATTTTTTTAAATTGTTTCGCTTCCCATCCCATGAAGCTTTATCACTCCCCCAAAAAAAATAAAAAATAGGAAGAAAGTCAGAGAGTTGTTGAAATGCACCAACTCCTGCCATACCAACTTCAGGGGCTCTCCCCAAAATATATTGCAATATGTCAAGGAACACTCAATCACTGAGAGAGTTTCTATGCCACAAATTTATAGTAGCATTTTAAACAGAGGGACTTTGGCTATAATCCTCTCCTTTTAAAACGACAGTTCCCTATATATTTGTTTCAGAATGGATACAGAAGCCACGCAGGTTGGTTGGAAATTGCTAAGAAATCTATTTAAAGAATCGTCTGAAATCTGACACTCTGTCAAAGTGTTAGAGAAAAGATGCCAATAGCCAAGCCAGCCTTTAACATGTGCCAAATGTTAGATGCACTGTTCATTGTGGCTGATATTATTGTTCCTAGCAAAAGTGCTCTGGAGTATGTTTCACTTAATTATGAGTTCCCTTTGCAGCAAGTTACTTGTTTTATTTAGTTAAATAAGTTGCCAGCAAAATCTAAAAGCGCCATCCCCAAGCATGCATTTGTCAGATGAGTTGGGATGACCAACTCCCTATGCTGGCCAGGGATTATGGGAGATGTTGTTCCAGTCTTTCTGGAGGGAAGCGGAATGGCCGATGTAAAGAAGTTCATTCATTTCCTTATCCCCAAATTATCAATACACAAAATTAATTCTTTAGGAAGGCAGGGGTGAGCAACACATATTATCATATCATAAAACTTCAGTAAAGCTCCATCCAGGGAGATGAAGGAAAAGAATACAGTAAGGTTACTTACGCCATGATAATAACAGAAAAATCCAGCCAGTTCCAGGGGTCTCGAAGGAAGGTGAATTCAGTCATACAAAATCCTCTGGCCAGTATTTTAATCAATGACTCAAATGTGTAAATGGCAGTAAAAGTTTGCCTATAAAGAGTTAAGAGTCCAAGAAAAAAAATATGAGAATATTAGCAAATGGCAGGACAAAAAAAAAGATGCATAAATATCCACCGATCCCTTATTATCTGCCTATCCTAATAGCCAGAAAAACAGAATAACAGAGTTGAAGAACAGGTGAACCCCCTCTTCTTTGTGGCAGCCCCTCAAATATTGGAATGCTGCCATGCATTTGGCTCCTGACACTGCCTAAAACTATGTTTGAAATTGTTATATATGCAACCACTATATGTGGAATCTCTCTCTCTCTCTCTCATTGAGGTACACAGTCGTAAAGCCTCAAGGAATGTGTTTTAAAGACATTGTCATCTCAAGGACTGCTGGTTTCACTATAATTGTCCTTTGCACATACAAATAGACATAATATGGAAGTTTTTAAGAACACCCTGGACAGCCATTTGTCCAAAATAGTATAGGGTCTCCTGCTTGGGCAAAAGATTAGATTAGGAGACCTCCAAGGCCCCGTTCCAAATCTGTTATTCTGTTATTCTGTATAATATATTTACGAAAATGCTGCTACCATATTTCTCCCACTGTTTCCATCTCTCTTCATCCTAAATTTTATCCTAGAGCCTGCCAGCCGCTCTGGAACTACACATCCCAATATCCTTTGTCACTGGCCATGTTGGCTATGGTTGCTAGGCTTTGTAATTTAGTAACGCCTCTAGGGGCTCATGCTTCAAAATGTTTTTAATTTAATTGAAGCTGAGAATGACCAATTTCTTTCAAAGGACATGGTTGTAATTCCATTATAAACCAGCTAGAAATGCTGAAAACCTATTGCTAATTTATTTTTGTGCTGTAATATTTTTCTTGTGATTTTTTTATTTTTATTTTGCTACTGGCAAAGCTAATGCAGCTGTGTAATTGAAATTTGGCTTGCTATTCCACTGGTGCTGATCGTCTCTAGTCGCTTAACCAAAGCAGAAGCGGACTGACTACTGACTGAAACTCAGCAGCTCCTGATTTGCCACTTGAACACACAACCACACAAATATTTGCAGCAAGCTGACCCACTTTTCAGTATGGGCCATTTGGCAATAAATGAAAGTCAACCGTAGGCTAGGCTTGCATTGATTCATACTATCACTTTAAAATAGCCTTCCCTATATTGTGCCTTCAGGATATTCTGGATGTCAACACCCAATTACCCTGACAAGGTTGGTTTAGATAGCATAGCAGCATGTTGTCCATACATCATAGATACCAAGCTGAACAAGACTGCTATCGTTGGGAGTAGAATTGGAATGTGATTTTGTAGGGCAGCAACGTTCTCTTCCCACTGTTCATCCTTCTGACCCAACAGAATGTAACTATCAATCTTAGTTACTTTAATATCTGATTTTCTCCACTGTGTATTTGTTTGACCATCATTTTCAAGTTGTTGTTGTTGTTCACTCGCTAAGTTGTGTCCGACTCTTTGAGACCCCATGGGACAAGCACGCCAGACCCCAGAGTCTCCACTGTCTCCTGGAGTCATGTTCATTGTGTTGATGACACTATCTAACCATCATCTCATCGTCTGCTGTCCCATTCTCCTTCTGCCTTCCATCCTCTCTTCTCCTTAGATGGCAAAAGTATTTGAACTTCAGCTTCAGTATATCTGTCCTTCCAAATCACAGTCAAGGTAGATTTCCTTTAGGATTGACTGATCGGATCTCCTTGCGGTCCGAGGGACTCGCACAATTTTCATTTTCAAGTACATACCCCAAGATGGTTATTTTTTAAAAAAAAATACTACAAGAAATGTCTCATATCTATCCATTGTTTCTTGAATTTCTCCAAACAGATTTATCTTCCAGCTACATCTGGACTGCAAGTCCTAGAATTCCCCATTGGCATAATAAAACAGGATGTAGAATTCCGAGAGTTGCAATCCAGCAATATTTTTGAGATGGTTTAGAAACAGGAATAAATAAATAAATAAATAAATAAATATTTGGAGGCTGCATGTGCATAGATGATGATAATAATAATAATAATAATAATAATAATAATAATAATAATAATAATAATAATAATAATAATAATAATAATAATAATAATAATAATAATAATAATAAAGTTGGAAGGGACTTTGGAGGTCATCTAATCCAACCCCCTGCTCAGGCAGAAAACCCTATCCCATTTCAGACAAATGGCTGTCCAGTCTCTTCTTAAAAACTTCCAGTGTTGGAGCATTCACCGCTTCTGGAGGCAGGTTGTTCCACTGGTTAATTGTTCTAACTGTCAGGAAGTTTCTCCTTAGCTCCAGGTTGCTTCTCTCCTTGATTAGTTTCCATCCGTTGCTTCTTGTCCTGCCTTCAGGCGCTTTGGAGAATAGCTTGACTCCCTCTTCTTTGGGGCAGCCCCTGAGATATTGGAACATGACTATCATGTCCCCCCTCATCCTTCTCTTCGTTAAACTAGACATTCCCAATTCCAGCAACCGTTCCTTATATGCTTTAGCCTCCAGTCCCCTAATCATCTTTGTTGCTCTTCTCTGCACTCTTTCTAGAGTCTCAGCATCTTTTTTACATCGTGGTGACCAAAACTGGATGTAATATTCCAAGTGTGGCCTTACCAAGGCCTTGTAAAGTGGTATTAACACTTCACATGATCTTGTGTGCACAGGTAGTCCTCAACCTATGACCATGATTGAGCCCAAGACAGTTGTTAAGTGAGTTTTGCCTCATTGTACGACCTTCCTTCCCAAATATATGCCAGTTGCCAAATGTCCAAATTTTGATCACTTGACCCCGGGGATGCTGCAATGGTCATAAGTGTGAATAACAGCCTTAACGTGACTTTTTTCAACGGCGTCGTAACTTTGAACGGTCGCTAAACGAATGGCTGTTAGGTCGAGGACGTGAGAAACCTAATAAGGTTTGCTTTTTAAAACAAACCTCGGACACACGCAGCTGTAACTATGGTTAGTGTTTCAAAAGAGAAGAGAAATATGCCCCGTTTTGGAGGATTTTTCACCGCGCCTGGAAGTTGGGGCTGCCTCTAAGATCCTATCTGGAAGGAGGGCATTTTGTCCTCCTTCCTTCTGGCGCCCACAGTGAGGAGCAGATGGCTGTATTTATCAGCCATCAGTCAAAAATAAGAAGTATGTTCTGGTTGGTGCAATGAGACACACTAATTGTTTAATGCACTGCACTTAGATTAAGCCTTTGCATCTGGTATCCATTTCAGGAAGATTTTGCAGAAGTGCAAGCTCGCCGTACGAACCTTCATACAAAAGGTAAGTTTCAGAAGTATTTATATGTACAAATCCAGATTGTTTAGTTCTATCACTCCAGCATTACCTACTGAGGAATAGATAGTCAAAGTGGATCCTTATCCAGTTCTGCAAAAGAAACATTTCTAATGTCTGGCAGAGGGATGCATCTCTATAACCCTGGCAGTGACCACAGATAGCCCTCACCACCCACAATTTACGAGCCCAACATTTCCTAAGCAAGGCAGCTATTAACTGAGTTTTAAAAATCTTTCTTCGCCCTTTTTTTGGCAATGTTGTTAAGTGAATTACTGCAGTTGTTAAGTGAATCATGTGGTTCTTAGGTGATTCTGGCTTCTCCCATTAACTTAGCTTGTTGGAAGCTGGCTGGGAGGGATACAAAGGATGGATCACATGACCCCGGGAACCTACAACTGCCCTAAATACATGTCAGTTGCCAAGCGCCCAAATTTTGGTCACTTGATCGTGGGGATGCTGCTACGGTCGTATGTGTGAGAACTGATCACCTTTTTCAGTGCCATTGTAACTTTAAGCAGTCGCTAAATGAATGGTTGTAAGTTGAGTACTATCTGTAGTATATTATCTGTAATACGAACTTTCCAGATTCAGTTAAAGATAAATGTGCTGTTAGCCTTTGGATTGCAGAGGTCTCTGAGAAAAATCCATCTCTCTAAAGGCAATATAATTTATTTGAATCAATTGTGTTTTGTCAATGCACTTGAGATACATACTCTGACAAAACACAGTTTAATCATCTATTTTAATAGATATTAATCCCATTTTAGTTTTCAATAGAGTTTGATTTTGTGATTTAGCATCCCAAATATTCATTGCCCTAGAGAATATAAATAAGATGGTCACAGGAACATGACTAGTCCTCACCTGCCCATTTCCCAACTTAAATAAATTATATGCAGCAGGATTCTAATATTATGCAAGTTCAAACAGAGAAAAAAAGTTCTGAAAAGATACTTACTCCACGTATTTATTCCACGGAGGAAGTTCGGACCACGCCATGAATACACAGTTGGTTAAAATAGTGCACATAATAAACATACTGAATAATGTGGAAGTATGAGTTAAGGAAATAACTTTAAAGGAGTTTAGAATTTTAAAAATGTATTTAAAAACAAGCTCTTCACACTTTCATTGTTGTGGCCTTGCAATATTTTTCCTGTTTCACAGCTTTTATTCATCCTTTCCATAAAATGCAACCGTTGAATTTGCTATAGTCATATGTACAGCATGCATATATGAGTGCAGATAAGCATAAAAGGATATAACTTTGGTTGAAGTTTACAGGAAATCACATAGCCAGTAGAATAATCCTTGAAGCAAAATCAGTGATCCAATATTGCAAATATTATCTAGTCAGTCACTGAATATTCTTCAATGTGTTTTTACATCTACAAGCTTTTCTCAAATGAAATCATTTCTTTCTGGAGAAAAATATCTCGAGTATTTGTATCATTAAGACCCCTGCTCTCTCTGGTGAATTCAAATGTGTATTTATTTTATTTTATTTTATTAAATTGTTGCTGAAAATTTGCTCTAAGAATCCTTCAGATCTGGTCATTATGGTTCAGCAATATCTGGAAGGTCTCAAACTTTTGACCAAGTGTACAACCTTGAGGATATGCCACAGGTTCACACTGACAGATACATACTCAAGTGAAACTTGACACCTTGTCATTAAATAGACAAAACCAACTAGGTTTTTAAAGAACAATACAGGAGTAACTTTAACACTGCCATTTTCAGATTTTTTTTTAATTTCCCAGAACTAGCTTTAGTGACGACATTTGTTATGATCTATCATCCAAGTATTAACCAGTCTACTCCAACATAGAAAAAGAAAGAAAGAAAGAAAGAAGGAAAGAAAGAAGGAAAAAAAACAGACAGGAGGGAGGGAGAGAGGGGAGTAGAAGGGGGAAGGAGGGAGGAAGGAAGAAATGAAAGAAGAAAGGAAGGAGAAAGAAAGAAAGAGAGAGAGAGAGAGAGAGAGAGAGAGAGAGAAAGAAAGAGAGA